GGCTGGAAAACAATGCATATATATTTTTTGCTGAGCCAAGTCCTTAGTAATTACAGTTAATAGATCCCAGGGGGATTCCTAGGTAACCTGCACTATGGTTTCCATGGCAGAGAGGCCGCGCTTGTGCCCTGCGATAACAGATAATAATGGATTGTTAATGCTTAAATTAATTATGCTACAATCGTATTTGTAAACCAGCTGCCCCCTGTATTCCCAGTAAGACTCTTGAGTTGCTACACAACAGTTAGGGGATAAAAACAAACAAGACGGAGGGGGAGAAATGGCGGCGCTCGGCTGCAGTGTGCCAAAACCCACGGGCTGGAAGAAACCTTCCCTCGTTACAGCTGCCATTACCCCTGTGCCACAACAAGGGTTTATTCACAGTTCCGTGTTCCCATGGGTTTGGGGTTCCAGCTCTCCAGGCTTTGGAGGAAATCTTAAAAGTCCCTGGAGACTCTCCACGTTGACACAGAAGGGCCCTTTCGCCTAGCTCACCCCGGTGTACGTTGCCCATCCTTGGCAGATGTTTTCCTCTCCTGTGAAGGAGCCCAGGGACCTTATTATAAAAGAAATAAAACCAAAAATCCCAGCCCCAGAGCGGCCGTGTTTTGCTGATGAAATTTGCCATCACCCAGCGTGCGGGATGATGCTCAGAGCTTGATTTCATTTTTTCCTTTCCTGGAGCCAGGCTGGTAACCGTTCCGGGTGGAATTCATCTCACGTCACTCGGTCTACAGACAGCCTAGGTGGTTAGCGCAGGCTAGATGTCTAACGTTTAGACAGCTAAAATTGGGTGAGAGGACGCTGCCAACTGGCGTCTGCTTCCCAGTAAAGCAGGTTCTGGACTTGCGGGCCCTGTGCTGGGAGGCAGCACGGCATTTCGCAGCGGAGCCCCGTCTCCTGAATGACAGGCAGGGCAGCTGAAACAAATCTCCGCAGTTCCTCATGGCCTGCTTGAGCACTACTATTTCAGGGCTAAAGAGAGTGTTGTAGCTTTAAAAAAAAAGATAAAAAAGCAAAGCTTTGCGGGCTGCTTCTTGCTGTCTTTGCCACGCAAACCTCAGGCTCGGGAAATCAGCTCGACTTCTGGCTTTCTAGCACCCCAGAGCCTGCGATGCCACTGGCCTCGGGGATTTCTTTGGGCTTTTCTAAGTCTCAAGAGGGCCAAAGATGAGATAAAGCCCCATTGAGCTACTACAGCAACCTGCGAAGTTGCAAATCAAGGGCTACGTCTCTTCTTCCGAAAGGTGGGTGGCTCGCGATAGAGGGCCAGCACGTGGCGTGAGGAGTTGTAAGAGCCGCTTGTTCCAAAATGCTGGCTGTGGCTGCACTAAAAGGGAGTTCACTGCCCTATTGCCAGGCTGGGGTCAGCAAAACATCTCTTCCAAAGCACAAACCCAGAAGTGATTCATCTTCTGCCTGGGCACCGAGCAGGAATCATTTCTTAGAAACAGATGAGACATATCCCCAGACATCCTTGCTATCAAAGGGGAGCGGGGCAAGTGTCTCCTCTGAGCAGGGGTTAAGGCACAAAGACCTTACAAGTCAGAAATAAGCCAGACTTGCGTTTAGAAGTGCAGCAGGATTCGTAATTGGAGCTAAACCAGAAGCTTCAGCGTCGCAAAGCTGCTTATCCGCCAGCTGCCGCAGGCAGGACTCCAGCCCCTGCCAAGATACGCCGGCGTCTCACCAGGGGGGGAGAGCGGTACCTGCACTTGCTGCGTGGAGAGCCCTGCCTGGAGTTCGCACAGGGAAGAGGGCGTTCAAAAGAGGGAACTGTAAAAAGGAAGTAGAATTTATAGGTCGTCAGACAGTCGGATTTGAGCTGTTCAGCTTGCGGAGCCCCCTCCCCTCCTCGGTCACCCTATTTCTGGGATGCTTTTGCTGGCAAACGTGGAAGACCCCGCATCTGCCCGTGGCAAAGGAAGCATTTTCTCCTGCCTCTGCGTGGAAGAGGGGATGCAAGGGGCAGAGAGGCGCAGACTGAACCGGGGAGCTGAGCAAAACATTCGTGCACGGGAATCCAGTCGCTGCTGATGCAAGCGGGTAGAGGCACGTTGACCCCCCCCCGCCCCACCCCACCCCCATTTTTCAAGATGAGGGCACGACTTTGACGCACTGGTGTGTAAATGAAGGGTGCGCTCCCTCCCTGGACACCATCCCCCCAGCATCCTTTGAACCCAAGTCCCAAAGGGTTGTGATTTCAGTCAGTCCAACAGGTCCATCCCAAAGCGTTCGTGTCTGTGAGGGTAAAGCTCAAACTCCAGGGAATTAAGAGGCAGCCAGGCCTGCTCTGTGCCTTTTGTCGGGGAGGTGAAAGCAGCCTCCAGCTTGTCCTGGGCTCACATCAGCTGGCGTACAACTTTGCCTCCTTCGTGGTAGCAGAGCGATCGAGTAGTCTGAGCAGAGCAGGGCCAGAAATGGTGGCTGCTGCTTCGGCAGGGGCCATCAAACGGCGAGTGGACCGAGGCTAATGCGGTTAAGTCCTCCCCTGGCTGCGAGGTGGAGGGAACCAAATGGATTTTGTGTCTCTGCGGTGCCCTGCCAACAGAAACAATGACAGTGATAATCACTTGCAATCTGTTATTATATTAACACGAGCTCAAAAATCGTAAAACCCAGTAATCTTTTGAAATGAAGCTAACCCCCCCCCC